TCCGCCCGGCGAAGGCGGCCCTCTCCGGCCTCCTGGAACAAAGACTCGGGACGCTGGGAAGGGGGTCTGCCCCCACGTGTCCCTCCTGGGGCTGCTGGGGCTGCGCGGCGGCCATCAGGGCTCTCCGAGGGGAAAGAAGCTCACTCTGGCTTTCTTCGCCTCTCTTTTCCTGTGCGCCCCTCCTTTGGCAGGAGGGAAGGAGGGAGCCCCCGTGCCACTCCAGCTCTCAGGGGTAACCCTGCGAGCGCTGGGGGCTGCACACGTGGGGCAGGGCCTGCCGGGGAGAGGGACCCCCACCAGCACAGTTGCCCCCTCACCGCTGCCAGGGGAGCCGCCCCGAGAAGGCGGGTGGACATTGCTTCTGATCTGCCCCACCTGCAGAAGCGCCTTCCCCGAGGCCACCCTGGGTGACCCTCCCGAGGAGCACTCCTGGCTACCACCACCCTGTGGCTCTCCCTGGCGCAGCCATGCCAGGGGAGCTGTGCTGCTAAGCCCCCACTGGGGACACAACACAGCAGCTATAATCAGGTCCTGGGGAGGAGGGGGAGCCCAGCCCCGCAGGGCCTTGTCCCTGGGGAGTAGCGATGGAGACAGTGGTGCCTCCCCTTGCCTCTGCCCACAGGCCCAGGCCCAGACCCCTTCTCCACCTCCCTTCCTTTGCCTGAGACAAGGCCTCTGTCCCTGCGCATGGCCTGGTCCCCAGGGGACACTCATTGGGTAGGGAAGCCACCCCACCATGGTGACGGCAGAGCCTCAGAAGCTCCCGGAGCTGTGCTCTGGGTAGTGGCCTGGAGATCTAAGCTTAATTGCATGGACCCCAACCACAGCAGGGACTGCCTGGCTGGCCACGCTCTCAGCAGTGGTATGGTCCCCAACCTTCCACAGGCCATCGCTAACCTCCGCCATCCCCAGGGCTCCTGGCCTCACAGTCCTTCTCAGTGAGCGGCTGCAGGGGGAGTGGATGCAGCACCCCCGCGGGAGTGAGGAGGCCTGGGCCGGGCGGGGTCTGGGCAGGTCACCTCTCTCTGTACCTTACACAGAGGGAGGCTCCAACAGGGGCCTCCAACGGGCATCCTACAGGGTCCAGGCGGGCCAGGTGAGACACGGTGGAGGGTTTCCAGGACTGTGGGAACAGAGAGGCCCTCGGGGAGGCCAGACGTCAGCTCCTTCCAGGTGCTGCCAAGGAGGTCAAAGACTAGGGTTCCAGAGTTTCTGGCTCCTCGGGAGAAGGACATCCAGATTTGTGCATGGAGTGTCCGAAAATTGAAAACGCCGCAAGACGGAGGAAACACATCCTTGGGATGAACCCAGCCCGTGGCCCCCCAGGTCACTGCTCCTTGTACACGAGTCGGTTAGTGTTAACAGAGAGGCGAGTTTCGGAGCGATGCCGGCCCTGGCCGGACCTCTGGGAAGGAAGCCCTGTAGGTCTGGGCCCCCCGGGAGCAAGGGGAGTTTGCACCCCAGGAGCAAGGGGAGTTTGCTCACATCACAGGGAAGCGTCGTCCTGCACACACCGAGTCCTCCAGGTGGCTGAAGCTGGCTTGCCTCTCTCCGATGAGGTCGGCTTAATTGAGTTGATTTGAAGTTAAAATCTCCCTAAAACGAGGTTTCTGAATTGCTCCATCTGTGCTGGTGGAGTTCCTTGTGTAACACAGGAGGGACAAGATGCAGAAAGTGAACCTGAACTTGAACTTTCTTCACCTCCCGGGAGGTAGAGCAGCCACTAGTTATGAAAGCCTGGGCCTGTTGTTGCCCTAAAGGATGGGCTGTGCGGTGAGCCAGGCCAGTGCTCAACCCAGTCACACTGCCTCCCGCACCGCCTCCCGCACCGCCTCCCGCACCACCTCCCGCGAGCTGGGAGGCCCAGGGTGGGTAACCTCTCCTCTGTGAAATCTCAACTGCCTCCCTCATAAAACGGGCTTAAGAACAGTCCGATTGTTGGGAGAACTGTGACCCCTGTGTGAACCTATAGCACACAGTAGGCGCTCAATAAATGTTAGCCGCTGCTTTTTTCCTGCAGTTGAGGTGGACTGTGGCTCCTGGCTCCTCTGACACATCACCTGCTTCGGGACGGCTCAGGAATCCCTCTCTCGCATCCCATGTCAAATTGCAATTATTTTCCCCTCCCTACTCTCTGTGTTTCTTTTCTTCCGCTAAAAGACTGTCGCCGAGCCCCTCCCCTGTGCCCAGAGTCCCGTGCTCAGCACGGGAATGGAGCGTAGGTCTCACATGGGCCCCACCTTGAGAAGCTGCCGGATGCCCTGTGCAGTTATAACACTAGGACGAGGTTCTCCGCGCTAACTTCCCATCCAGAGACAGCGTGTCCTACACATGTTCCTGCCCTTGGCCAGATAGTCTTGGTTACATGTCCCCACAGATGAGCGGCTCGCCACCTCTCTGGCGGTGCTGCTGCCGAAGCTGTAGGAGGAAGCCTCCTGGGTGTGCCTGAGTCTTCACTGGTCAGACCAGAGGTGGGACAGGTCCGCAGCCGTCACTCTGGGTCTGAGGTATCTGATTTCCCCAGGGAAAACACACACCTGGTAAAAAAAAAAGGTCTTGCAAACTTGGTGAGATGCTGAGTTCAGTCTCCAGGAAAAGCACCGTGAGTGATGGATGCGAGGTTTTACGAAACAGAGCCCCGCTTCCCATTCTCGCTGATAGCCCATGTACCACGTAGG